CTCTCGATTCTAATTTTCTTCGACCTCTTTCAAATTTGCCTTGTTGCCAAGTTAGTTCAACATCCGATCTTAAGAAGAATCGTCGAAAAAGTCCTAAACCTATTATACGGCTACCAATTCATCCTAAACTTTCCAATTTGGCCAGTGTAATCGTAAACCTTTAGATGATTTTTTAATGTAGTCAATCCAACCAATTTTCGACCAAAAAAAATCCAACCAATTTAGGGTAGAAATTGCTGATTTGGCGGTCTTGGCAGCACTGGCCGTCTTACGTAACATGGCCGACAATCTGACATGTTCGGTGAGGCTCAAAACAATGTCATTTTGAGACATTTTCAAAAAAAAATGATTTATTTTTATTATTTTCTTTTTTATCTTTCTTTCCTTCATCTTCCCGAATTTCTGGTCGACAAGGTCACCGAGCCCTAGGCAAGGCCAGAAATTTGGGAAGATGAAGATAAAAAAGAAAAGAAAAGAAATTTTAAAAACTCAAAACGACGCCGTTTTAAGCCTGACGGACACATCAGATCGTCGATCGTGCCACGTAAGATGGTCGGCGTTCATGTCAACGATTTCTGGTCTAAATTAGCCAAATGGATTACATTGGAAAATTGTCAAATGTTTAAGACTATATTGGTCAAATTGAAAAGTTTAATGATAACTCTTAGATAGAGCATTTTTACTAATTTAGGCTTGATATTTGCTAAATTTTGATGAATTTTTAGTGAATTTATTTTCTACTCATGTAATTTTATTGAATTTTGTAGGAAATATAACTTTCGGAGGCTAAGAGACCATGCGCACTATTTGCAGAACATGCTAGGACCATATGCGTAATTTTCCTATGTGTTTGTACTGGAATTGCAAATCAGTCCCTACGTCTCAGCATCTTCCAGAATATATCAGTATCTTCTAGAATATTTTGTCTTGAAGAAAAAGCCAATCAAGACCAGAAATTTGGAGGATTTGACCATAATTGAGGCTAGGTTCAAAGAAAATCAAGAATAGGAATCTTAAGAAGGAAAATTCTTAATTTGGCGAGGAATCCTATTCAAGACCTAATGGGGGCTGACCTAGGGGAGATTTTTGGAGGCAAAAATAAACCCCTCTTGTGACGCATATTTCAGTATCCGGAGGAGCTGCCACCTCTGAGGAAGATTTTAGGTTTTCTTAGTTAGCTTTTATTCTTCTATTTTTTTTAGTATAGTTGGCGCATGTCAAGGAGAGAAGGAGGAGACAAACCTGAACCTCTTTCTGACTCAACTTGGTGAATTTATTTTAATTTAGCATTGTGTTCTTTTTAATTTTTGTTGTTAGTTTAGCTTTAACTATGTTCTAAATTTCTTTTGTTAGAGCTACAATGGATCTTAACCATGATTGATGATTATCAAGACTTGCTTATGCAATGTAGTTGTTCTGATTGTGTCGTTCTCTATCATGATCTTAATGCTTTTAGAAGTTTGGCCAACTTTTAAATGATTTTCGATGTATGCATGATACCGGGTGGAGATTGCATGCATGTGGACTAGTGATATTGAACCATAAATTAAATCTAGGTCAAGGTACACTAGGTTGTTTGTGTGGTTACGGTAGCAGATCTAGATTGGGACTACTTAGATTAAATTCGGGAATTTCCACAAGAACTTAATGCTTTAGGTAGTTTAAATTCACCTAAGGTTAGTGTGGGTTAACATACCTAATTAGGAATTATTAGACCGAGGTCGGCTTGTAATCTAACTTAGGGAAATTTCACCAACACAATTGGGAATTAATTTGTTGCATGACAAGTTACGAAAATTGATTATGAGTGGTTAAGTGAAGTTGGATGCTATAACGCTTTGTGATCTTGATTAAAATCTTGATAATTTGCCTTGTTAATTTTCGGTTTACTTTGGATTAGGTCTATTTTGCAATTTTAATTAGCTTTTGAATCCTTTAAGCTTCGGCTCTTTTGTATTTCAGTCCTTTAATTGGTTTAATTCACTTTTTACTTGTCTTTTCGACTTGGTTAGCTAGTTCCTTGGATTGATCACCTTCGGTAAGTAATTGGATAATTAGAGACAATCCTCGTGGAAACGATACTCACTCATCACTTTATTACTTGTAGATATTGTGCGCTTGCAATTCACCTAACATTTAGGACTTAATTAGTGACCGTATAATAGATTTGTCTTTTTTGACAATTTTTCCTCCAATCTTATTTGGGAATAAGTAATCATGACGACCTTGTAATATATATTAATTTCTTATCATATCGCGTAAGTGTCTGGCATTTTGCAGTTGTCCACTTGCTCTTAACATAATGTTCTTATGAATGGACCTTCACAACTTTCCAATTTTAATTATAGAACCATTTGCATATTTGGTTTTCGAATGTTGTAACGCTAGCCTAAGTAATCGACACAGAATTTCATGTACATCTTTCAGGGCAACACAAGGAAGTTTGACTGAAACCAACCGCAAAGCTACAGAAGACGAAATTTATGGAGAAAATGACAAAGTTTATTGAGGAGGCAAGACGAGCTTGAATTTGAATTTAGGTATGTTTCTTTAAGTAAAAGAATCTTATTTGAATTAGTTTTCTAAACTTTCAATTTATTGGTTTGCTAAAAGTGATTAGTCAACGGAAAATTTACAATCGAAGAAAATATGAATGCTTAAAGATATGAAAATGAATTCCTTAAATTGGAAAAGGGAAAATATTTTCTTGAAAAATGATTTTCCGGAAAATAATTTCCTTCGTCACGAAGTTTTCCCGTAACAAACACACCCTTAATGGTACAAGGTTATAACGGACCTATTAGGATGCCGTTCTCTCCATGAAAGGACGGGCTAAACATGTTTCTAGTGGGTTCAACCTAACGATACAAAAATAAAATGAAAATTATCAAAATGTCAATGCTTTTTCCTAGGTTTACCAAATCGTGATAAATGTGTGTTAAAAACCAGCAAAGTTCATATGAAAAAGATAACTATCGACATCTCATTTCATTGGCTAATATTACTCCTATCAAGAAAATAATGTAATACTTCTATCAATCGGGTGGTTGGTCAAGTGATGCAAGACTTGATTTGCACATCACAGGTTCCATTCCTTAGTATATCCTCGGTCTCAGGTTACCTTGGTCTACGACTGACGAGTTTGGGCTTAGGTATATTGTCCGTCTTGGGCTTTAACACTAGCATCTGGCGGGTCAATGGTGTCGAACTTGCCCACTGTACAGTTAATACTTCTTTAGCATCTTAAAGCAAACGTACCAGCAGCTGATGAAATAGGTCATAACCCTGTCCTAATCCTTCTATTTATCAGCGGATGAAATAGGTCATAACCTGTCCTAATCCTTCTATTTATGATACAAAAAAAAAGTATTATCTCTCTCTCTCATAGTAATCTTTGATATGTTTTTATTTCTAGAGAGGTTTCTGAGGTGATTCATTGGTTACACCTTTTTCGGCCCAAGGTTGGCCCACTTTTAATAGAGAAAAGTAATTCCATAGAACTACCGAATTGCATGACACAAGTATACAAGTAAATTTTAGCGTGAATCGGACAAAGAACCGAAAAAATCACTCTCTTAAAAGAAATTTTCTTGTATTATTAACTCACAATTTGCATGCCTACAACTGAGAGTTCTCCTCTTATTTATAAGGGTTAATACCACGAAAAACATCAAACTGGTACACATGTTACAAATTTACCCCAAACTAATTTTTTGACCACCAAAAGCTCCAAACCGGTACACCTATAATAAGTTTACCCTCCGTTAGCTTTCATCAAATTTTACCGTTAAATTTGCTGACGTAGATGACACATGATGACGTGGTGTGGCAAATTTCATGTGCAAATCCATAAGGTAAATACCACAAAAAATCTTAAATTGGTTCGCTAATAGAGAGTAAATTTGTCACAAGATTACCAATTTTGGATTTTTGTTGGTCAAAAAATTAGCTTGGGTAAATTTATCATATGTGTACCAGTTTGGGATTTTTCGTTGTCAAAAATTAATTTAGAGTAAATTTATCACAGGTGTACCAATTTAGGGTTTTTTGTGAAATTAACCCCATTTATAAAGGGACTAGGACACTACATCAGGAAACATCAAACTAGGAAACCTTAAACTGGGAAATGCTAAACTAGGAAATACTAAACTGGGAAACATAAAATTAGGAAAAATTAAACTAGGAAATATCAAACTAGGAAACATCAAATTAGGAAATATTAAATTTAGGAAATTTATACCAAATAAGATAAGTTGTCTGAATGGTTGGGCTTCTAGTTTCTTTTGCAATTTGGGCTTTACAAAACTATAGTTTGACAAGAGATAATAGGGTCAATGTGGGCTGAAAAATGAAGTGGGTATAAGCTCCGAATATTCTTGAACTGAATACTCATTTTTAAGCAAAAGCTCAGATTATTATGAAAAACTGTCCCCACCGACATCAACCACATGTCCTCCAAACTCCATCGGTCGGAATTCCTGACATGTTGTCAGAGCATGGTTCCGCATCCTCCATATCCCGATTGTCATTTGAATCCACACATAGGTCATTGTACGTTCGATTTGCGCATGAGAGGGAACATCATAGTATATACTATATTGCTTAAATACGAACAACAAGTTTGATAAGCATGCAGTCATCTTGCGCATAGCAGCTCAAATTTTCGAGTTGAAATCCCTGGTAAGACCGACAGATGATCACCACTATTTTGTAAGCACAAAACGAGCCCGCCGGTTTACCATCACTCTGTATTTTCCTCGCCCATTTTCATTCCCTCCTATTTCGCTTTCGTCTCTCACAGTCGGGGGGAGATAGAAACAAATTCAGACTGAAAAAGTATGAAAATCTTTATATGCTTCGAAATTACAGATAGAGCAAAGAGAAGAACACCGAAAGATGAAGATCATCTATTGGTTACTGGGAAAAGGAGCTCAAATATGAACAGTTCCTCTCTAATTATAGTTAATTACAATCTTTAGTTGATCTACATACAACATACAATTTGAACAAGGGGAGGAGAGGAGGAGGAGGGGTCAAGCAGAGAAGAGTCCATTGGAGGCTGCGAGACTCAGGGGGCTCTTGGGCTCCAACACCCACTTCACCACCTCCAGCTTCTTTGCCTCTCCCATCATCTTCTTCATCACTCTCTCTGAAAACGAGGACACGGAAGAACCGACCATTCTCAGGCTCAGACCTTCGAACCGATCACCCGCACCGCCTTCTTCAACCTTCAGGTTCATCCTCGGGTAATTCTTGATCCTCCTCTCGTACTCCTCCGCCACCAGGATCGCTATGTCGGCCATTCTCTCTCTCTCTCTCTCTCTCTCTCTGTGACAGGCAGCTCCTGAGTTCAAAAATCTCTTCTTTTCTCCTCTTTTTTTCTTGGAACCTTGGTGGGGCAAAGGGTTCTTGAGGGAGGGTTTTTATAGTGGATAAGACCTGAGAAAATGTGAAATGGGTGTGAGCTAGAGCAAATGGATAAGGCTCACAGATGGCTAATGCTTTTATTATTATTGTGTTGGGAATATTCTATCCATCTTTTGATGGTTTTTGTGGGGTTAGCTGGTTTTGGGCAATGTTTTTTCTTTCTGTTGGGGTTGGTTGCTGGTTGCTGTGCACTTGGCAATCCAATGATTCATATGTCTCATATTTTAATACAGCACCAACATAGGTGTATAGCACACGCAATGTGGGTCCTGCTTGTATGTCGACACTTGCTTTTCCTTAGGATTAATATCGTTAAAAAAATTCAAAAGCAATTTCAAATCGATATTTCATAACAAAGTTACCAGATTGAAATTTCATAACTCAAATCTACCGTTCATTAGAATTTCATCCGATATTACGTTAAAATGCATACGTGTTAATATATGTGGCAAATGATCGCAATATAGATCCGACATGGAATCAGGGTTCACGAGAGTGATGTGTTGCTTTTCAATGAAACTTTTTCCTTAACAAAATTTTGGCTTCCCCCGACCAAAACCACCGGAACGAACGGCCAATAGCTTCACGCTGTCGGCGGCCGTCCGTTTTCAAATTGAAAATACCAAGGGCAGTTTCGTCACCACGTGACGTAGCCAGATTCGTCCATCACCGCCAGTAACTTTCGGACACGTGGATTTTCACGCTCGGGCATTTGGAGGAGGGCCCACATTGTCTGAACCATGAAGTTCCTCTAGAAAAATATTTTTTTGTTTTTTTGGAATAATTTGGAAAGCCGTCGCCACTTGCCAAAAAAAAAAACCCACCTTTGAAATTTTCATTTCTCCACTTCTTTGAAATAATCAATCCAGATCAATTATACTGAACATTAGATTTTTTTTTATCGAATAGTGAACATTAGATTAAAGTCCTCAAAACTACACTTCAAAGAAAGTGTTTCTCATTCCCTTTTTTTTCCCTTCATTTTTGGCGATTTTATTATAATGTATAGATTATTTCGTGGCGTGCGCAAGCGACACTTTGAAAATCGAATATGACTTTGTTAAATTTTTTAAATAATGTATGCTTAAATTGTGTCTGGAAAGCACTTGTTATGTGATCGTTTAAAATTTAGCTCCTTCAGATAGCATGATTTATGTGCACTAAAAAAGTGGATTCTCTATTTTCTAAGACTCGCTGTTCTTTTTCCTTCCAAAAGAGTATTTTTCTTCCGTTACTTAGGTTCATTTGATAAAAAAAAAAACTTAAGAAAAAGAATTGAAAATTAGATATCGGGATTTGAGTGCCAAAACCTTCAAATACTGAAAATAAAAGTAAATTGTTGGGCAATGTTAGTTGTCCATATGGGGACTCTACATTTTATAGATATGTATCAATACTGTCGTCTTGGAAAAGGACAATAAAATGTGACAAAACAAAGCTGTAGACATGTTTGAGTAAAGGTGATCATTGAGCAGGCTCCGACACATGTTTCAGCATCCTGAAATCCCAACTCTCATGACTCCTGGTTGGATTATGAGCTTCACATCACGAGATAGAATCCATCGTAATTAACTTATAAGGTTTGAGACACGTTTGGGATTTATTTAGTAGGTATCCTCAAATCCCAACCCGACTTAGCGTACTGCTTTCTTTTTTTTTTTGGTCAGAACTTAGCATACTACATAGAAAAAACAAAATTGTAAGAGATCTGTTGAAATTTTGTTTCGGATGAAATGAAATGGCTATTAAAAGTTTCTAATTAAGTGAATGTGCGCAAATTGTCAAATTCAGTGCATCGATTAGGATTCCATCCAAAATGGAGATGGGCGTGGCCTCTAACACTACTTTGATGAGACATCCAGTGATTTGAATATGAGATACGCTGCATGTAAATTAAGTATTTAACTACCTTCCTAGGGAGGAATTATGACCATGCTTTCACTTTCCAAATCAAAATTTTAGTAAATGAACATGTGTCCAATCCTTATCCTCTCCCTCCAATCTCTCTCTTGTTTCACACGATAAAGACTTTTGGTCATTGTTTAATATTGGATTATGAACCGGCATGATGGAGTTCAAGGGAAAAAAAAATCTAGTTGACTTTTGGTCATTGTTTTATCTTCAAGGAGCGACGGTTTCAAGAAGAATCTTTCATATTTGAGCTTCTCCACCTTAAGCAATAAGTTATCCATTTCTTTTGACTTTTAAAAATTGGCAACGACACACACACGCACACACTCACACACACACACACACACATATATATATATATATATATAGCAAAAAAAATTATTGAGACAGTCAAGCTAGTATGTACTAGATAATAAAAACAGTAGATGGCTGAAGTGGGTTGGCTCAACCGGCAAGGATTGGACGTTTCGCCCACCATGCCCAGGTTCGATTGCGGTTTGTAAATCCACTATAAGACCTTATAGGCATGTAGTATGCCCGGTTTTTGGTAATGGGTAACTCCCCTCCTCCTAAACTTTTTTCACATAAAAAAATTAAATAACCTGAATATCAATTTACGCTTCATTTAAAGAGTCTAAACTTTTGGAACAATCGGCAATACTCCCACAGTATTTTCACAAGTAACATGAGTGACTGAATCTTGGGTAGATGGGAAGCATGCGGACTTGATGCATTTTTAAACATCTAATACCCCATATTAAAGCCTACTTTAATTTTTCTCTTATCAACATCCGGTTCACCGGATTGTTGCACATTCAATTCAACTAAGTATAAAATAATTACCAAAAATCTTGTTTGGACCGGGCCGGTGAATATTTTAATGGGATCAGGTCTTGCTAAAAAACCAATTATGTATGAGATTTTTATTTTAATTTTCCCACTGAACATGGGAGCTTGTGGTTCCAAGAAAGTGACCAAGAGAGTAGCCAAGCAATTGCACATGGCAAGCATGTGGGTATCCCAACTTAGATGGTGGCCTGCTGCCTGCTGGTAATATTGATGAACATATTTTCTTTTTTCGAAACCATTCTACTCGATTAATCTCCATGAATATCGCGCGTGGTCAAGCTCACTGGGCAAGGCTTTGCTTCCGTGGTGACTCACATTGCTCTCAGAGATTGCATGGAACGGACGACATCGTGTTTTGATCATGAATGCATCTATCTCCTAGCCGAGCGATTGACCACTCAATCAATCCTTGGGTTCGTGATGAAGCGTCTATTCGCCAGTGCTCTATCCCGTTCGTTTGCGTTGATCAGTTGCTTTTGACTTCTGTTCATACTTTCCCTCCAAGAAGTCGAAGATAAAAGCATCATTTTATGTTTCGGAAAATTCGGAAAAACAAAAAACCCATACACCACTATACTTTCTCGTTAATAGTGGGTGTAAATTCGATTTGAAGCTTTCCTAGGAGGAACTAAGTAGCTGGCCTTGCAGCCTTGAAGCTCCTTCGACTGTGAGAAACACTTAACAAATTGAAACCGCTCTTCTTAAGTTGCTAAACCAAACTAGAGACTTTCAACATTCCACATCAATCCATCCTATCAGAATCCTCGGTTGATTCCGCGACTATAACTTCATCGTTTTGGAACCGCGACAGAAGGTTTATCCATCTAAAATACCCATCAAAACAAAGAGATATATCACACTCCAAGGAAAGTACCATTCCAGCAGCATAGCAAATCCAAAATGACCACTCAAAAGCTTCACTATGAAGTATTTATTTGGACAATGAGTGGCAGTGACAGCAGATAAAACGCAATACAGAGATGCAAAAACATACCAGAAAGTGTTACAAACGATGAAACCAATGTGAAAATTACTGACTTTTGTAAATCTATAGGCTTCACTACAGCCGTCAATAGCCATTTCATTTACAATATTCGGATCTGGTCTTATGCATCTCATATTGTGGTAAATTTCAACAGAAAAGGTAGGTGTCCAGAACTTGTAAGTGAAAACACTAGAGCAGTGGAACATTTAGTCTCTTCATGGTTGGGCTCTGAAGAGGGATTTGGCCAATCTCCTCATTCGGGGATTTACCACATACAAAGGCAGATACAGAGAGGGTTATTAGAATCGTACAAGTTATTCTTATGAACCATATAATGACTCCGCTACTAGAGGAGGCCAAGCGTTTTCAGCTGCTGAACATGCTCGGGAGGGAGAGGTGGGGGAGACCAATCAGATCCTGTCATCTCGCCATCGACGTCTTCTACCACATATTCCTATCACATCACATAAATCATATTAAAATTGAGAAAAAAAGATCATGCAAACTTGTAATAGAACCAAATCAACATGACAGAAAACCACATAAATATGCAAGAGGAAACAACAGAGTGAGAGAGACAAAATGCACGAGAGAGGAAATGCTACAACTGGAACACAATGGAGAAAATTGGAGCTTAAAGCATAGTCAGAGGACGTCAAAGCAAGCAAATCAAGATGCATAGGTCAAGACGTTTGTCATTATCTCCAAAGCTGAAGATTAGGGCTGTAATCAAGCCAAATGAAGTTGATACTACCTGAAACTCAAACTCGACTCGATTGAAAATACTCAAAATTTGACTTGTGCCAGATCCAGAATCATTTTGTGTTCGAGCTCAGCTAGATACAAACTCGGCATACTCTAGCTCGACTTGATTTCTATTAAGCAAGAATCGGGCTCAAACTCTACAAATTGAAAGTAAAGATCTCTCAACGGGCATGCAAAACATCAGCAGTCCCCAGTAACTGATTGTCATTAGGGATTAATTTGGAAAATTGGAAAGAAATCTTAGATTGTGTGAGATAGGGATGGAGGGAAAATTAATTTTGGAGTATTTTCCTCCCAAGTTTCTTCAACCCCTTGTTTCCAATCATAGCACAAGAGTAAGCGAACTTAGGAGTAAAAGTCACATTATTAAGGGGCTTGTTCAACTTCAAAATAAGTAAACAGTACTTTTACTTTCTCGCCAAAATGTACAATATTATTCAAGTTCAAAATATTATGAATAAATTTGTCTACTTGTCAACATTTATATGTTACGAAAGCTTCAAGTGTTTAAGAAAAACCCATATTATACACCCCATGAGATTTAGATTAAGTTTAAAATAAATAAAAAAGTCAATCTAAACATGCTTAAAAATTTTGGCATGCTTCATGTGGAAAATCACAAATGCTCTCTAGGCTTACAAAACAATAGCACGGATAAAAAACAAGTCATGTTATATGCTCTAATTGGTTTGTTAGCTTTCCATGGGCTGTGAACCAATAATTGTGACTTGAAAATCTCTCAATTGTTTAACAAGACTCACAAATACATATACAGACAAAGCAGTCAAATCCACTTACTTTAGTTAGCATCCTTTTGGCAAGTATGTGATAATGCCTTTGCCATATCCGCTGTCCAACCATTGTGGCAACTAAAACACTGTAGAATATGCCAATCACAGTAAACAGTCCAAGAACAACCAAAGCCATAATAAACAATAGAGGTAACCCCGCTTCACCAGCACCTCCTAAACATCCACACTCAGCTGCTGTACTTGCACAACTCTCAAAACATGTGGTACAATCAGTCCACATACAGAGAGTGCCAGGTAAATGGCAATCTGCACAAATCCTGTAACAACAAAACGAATGATTATCAAATATTTCATTGATGATTAGTTGAAATTGAGGGGAAGCAAAAATTGCACAAGCTACAACTGTATGATCAGCATTAGCAACCATCTAGACAGCTAAAGAATGTATCTTTTCCTAGAAAACACACAATTTGAGCACTTATTTTACACGGCTCTTTCCTCCTCTCTCACTCCTCTCTCATTTTCTTCTAATCCATTGATTAACTTTGCATGGCACTACCAATTTTACCAGGAAAATCTATCCTTAAGATTAGACTATGCACGAAATGATCCACTTTGGTTCCTGTATTAGCAACTACAGCGCTCAGCAATGAAAATAACATCAACAGGCTAAGATTTACTTCAAAAAGAAGCTTCAAGATATTTGGCACTAAAAAATGAGCAGAATAATCTGCAAAACTATACCCAGGATGACAGCAACATAGACAGAGTTCTCGACAAGGCTGAGCCAAATCATTCCGCACTCTTCGATCGTAGCAAGTGATGAAGCACCCAGACAACCCCAGCAAAGCAAAGAACAATAACGCTCCTGCATCAAGTAAAAAGATTAGAAACACAGAAGGGCTATCCAGTATTACAATCGGACAGGTCCAGAAGTAATGGCTTTCAACTAAATCGTTTGGGGGCATGAAGCACTTATGTGGCAGCAGCTCATTCTGTTTAACTTGGATTTGCAACGTCTCCTCCCCACAGCTGCCCCAAAAGAAAACCCCCCCTCTCTCTGTCTCTCTCTGGAGAAACACTACACAACCTCGCTCTGCTAAGTATAGTTTTCAAACCGAGCCAGAATCATCTTGATCAAAAGCAGAAGCTTCATTATGATTCTCTCCATTACAGTTTCTTTGATCTACACCTTTTTCTTGAACCATTCATAAGATCAAAGAAGGAATGCACCGAAAAACAAACAGCCATAACCCAACCCATACGATTTTGCAGAACTGATAACAAGTTAAGTGGCTAGTAACATTACCCTGAAGATGTAAAAGCGTACAAGCACTGTGCAAATATTTAAGGCAAAGACTTATAAGAAATCACCACAAATGTAGTAGAAGCTAATGCCACTATCAAAACCCCATGCATGCCGAAGCCAGAACTGCTGGGAGCCATCTATCAAATACACCAAGTATGCTAGAGAAGTGATCACCTGTAAGGTATCAGAGGGGAATGAGTAAAATTAAAGGCCCAACAAAATAAAAGTGCATAATGGAGAAAAAGATCAATGACCTACAAGTTGGACGGCCAGAAAAATAAATATGATGTCTCTAGTAACAAAGAACCGAAATTTCAAAGTCCGCCACTTTCGATCAGCAACAACATGAACTCTCAAATGATAGGGGGCCTTGCAAGTGGTGCAATGAGCAAATGCAAACCCTTCCTGCAGAAATAGAGGGACATATTATAAGAAATTATAACTAGGACACACAAGATGTGGCCAGGCAGCAGGCTACGCAGTATGCACATTATGCTCATGCAGCAATAAAGAGCATAATTAAAATATAAATAAATGAAGGCAGCATACTTCGCACCAGCTTTATTATATGTCCAATGTCCAACATTGAGATAATTTTAGAGGTTTTCCATGACTTTGTCCGTGTCAACAAACAATTCAAAATGCCTCAACCTTTTCCGGAACAGGTCGAAATCAAATAGCAATGATTTGAATTTTTAGCCTTCAGAAAAGACTCTCATCAGTCAGCTTGGCCCCTTTCCAATTCAGCTTCTATAAAAATTCATTTGGATATCAGCACTTAAAATAAGAACTTAGAGGGAAAAAAGCATGAAATTTCAATTAAATTCATAGGAAGATATATCCCGAAAATAATTAAAAAATGAAATTTGTTTGGTAGAGAAACAGCCAGGCATTGTTCACTGACTCATAAAAATCATCATCTAGCTAATAATTGAGAAAATGAGGCATAAAGGACAGCAAAGGAGAGATGATAAGCCATGACGAAGCCAAAATGGAGCAAATCCAGGGAAAGAGAAATGGATTAACAGCAAAGGAGGAAAAGGAGCAATTGAAGACGAGAAAGCAAAAGAAGAGATGCTGATCAACAAGAAAAGATCGGAAAAAGAGAAAACCATGCTCACATGGTTGTTTACAGACAAAGCAGCAAGAGGAGAAACAATCTGACTATGAAATAAATCAAAGCAGGGGCAGGTGAGGATAACAGGAAATAGAAGATACAGTTGTGAACAAGAATGAATGACTTGGAAAGAAAGGAAAAAAAAAAAAAAGCAATCCCTTTTTGAGGTTTTCAGATACAAAATACAAGCGCAAGCATCTAAAATGTAAACTCCAAAACCTGGGTCACAGAACAGCAGACCACTGTCACCCCACTGGACTTCTTAATCCTTATAATTTGCTCTTTGAACTATTTTCCACTAAATCCAATGTCCCAACTTTCAACCTTCTTCTGATTAGTTATCTCAAGGGAGAAAATAAAGCATAAGTCGATCTAAAGCCAAAAGCACCAGGGGACAAATAAACAAAAACTAAAAAGTCGTGTGTTTTGGCACAAAAGAAAAAACAAAAATCTACAAAAGAATGTGAAAAGTAGGAGTTGATTAAGCAAGCAATCCTGTTATTATTTCGAGGATTATTTCGATAAAGACTACAAGCCTTCGAAATAGTCACTTTTAAGAGTACGAAATTATGGTTTCAAAAAGCAAAAAGAGGTGAAAAGACTATAAACCAATAGTCTACTCTAATCATGTCTTCAGAAGGAAGACTGCGAGCACATCATGCAGAAACTCTTAGCAGTATTAAGTGCCGGGTACTAATAAAAAAATCAAAGCGAAACATTATATCTCAATCAATTTGTCTCTCCAGCAGCCATCTTCAAAATCTCAACAGCATCATCGTCTAATATCTACCAAATCAAAATTGACGAAAGCTGTCATTTTGATCATACCCGAACAGCTCGCCAGTGATCCAAACATTCACGGTGAACATATTTTGATGTCCCTTTACACTTGCAAGGAGCAATAAAATCTCTGCCTGCAGAAAAGAACAGACTTTAAAGGACGAAACTGATGGGAGAATGCACAACACACGCCATCTCGTTAATCAACCAATCACGAGAAAAAGAATCATCCGGAACTTTTGAACTTAAACAGAAAGGACAACTGTACGGAGGCCAAGCTAATTAGCAAAAGATCACTTATTCAACAATTCAACCACACAGGAAGCATATGTCATCAAAACCCAGAACACCCTCATCGTTCTCACTGAACAACCCGATGGTTAACTCGCCAAGCACGATCCTTCGGTAGCAGAAATAGCAGAACTTCACGGGTAATTTCAGACAAAAACCATCACTTGGTCGCAAAAACCACCCAAACGATGCTCCAGAACACAACCTCACTCCTCCGAATTGACCGCAGGCAAGACCTAACCGAGCCCCCCATTTCGCAAGACGCGAACTTCGAGCCAACAATGCAAAGCACCGTCCGACCCAACAACCCACGACCCCGGAAAACCCCTACACAGCGGGCACCAGCACCAGCAGCAGCACACGGTCTGGGAGCAAATTACCGTCGGTCTCGAGGCAAATCCGGCACTGGATTTGCTCGCCGGGCCCGGCCTCGAGGTCAACCTCGCTCGGCTCCCGCATCGGCGGCGGCGGCGCGATGAGGGCGGAGGACTCCGCGCGATCCGCCATCCCGGGGGGGGGGCGCTTCGAGGCCAGGAGGAGGAGGAGGGGAAGGGGGCGGGACTATCGCTGGAACTTCTAGGGCTTCAAGGGAGATTCGCGGAGGAAAGCGAGGGGGACCCCCCTAGAAGGATTCCATCTCTCCCTCCTCACTTCGGGAATCTTTGCTTTTTTTTCCGTGGGTAGGGGGGAGGGGGAGGGGGAGCTCACCTGGCGAATCTCCTCCATCGCGCTGCGCTCGCCTCCTCCGCCTCCATCGCTTCCCTGTGGAAGGCGAAGTTTCAGAGAAGGAGACGCGAAGGAAGAAGGAGGAGTGTCGACGTTGCTGTGGGTGATGCCATCGTTTTGATCTCTCTGGCTTTTTTTTTTTTTTTTTTAGTTTTTTTCTGTATTTGACTTATTTCTCTGAAATTGGTATTTCATAGGAGTTTTTTTTTTTTGGTAATGTGAAAGTACCTTGTACTTTGTATTTTAATTTGGGTTTTGCAAAAGTTATTGATATTAACATGTAACTCGAAGTTGTTTTTTTTCGACCCAAAAAAAAAACTCGGAGTTATTTTTGAAGTTCGGGTAGATTTTTTTTTAATTTTTGTGGGGAAAGTTAAATTTTCTTTTTTTTGTATTTAATTGGTATTTCATAGGAGTTTTTTTGTATCTTTTTTTTTAATGTGAAAGTACCTTGTACTTTGTATTTTAATTTGGGCTTCGCAAAAGTTATTGATATTAACATGTAACTCGAAGTTGTTTTTTTCCGACCCAAAAAAAAACTCGAAGTTATTTTTGAAGTTTGGGTAGTTTTTTTTTAAAATTTTTGTGGGGAAAGTTAATTTTCTTTTTTTTTTGTAAGAACAAATAGATCATAAACTCGCACTCGAGGTACAATCGAGATTTAAAACCTCCAATTCATGCAATTAAAGCTTAAAACCAACCTGTAAAATGAATTATCATCAAATGTCGCTGTAAATTCATTAGTTTTAGATGTTGAAAAACAAATCTAATATATGCATCATTATTATTTCCTTGTTACGATCTTTTTTATTCGATAATTAGGTTACTAGTTTTCGATAAACATTTATGATATTATTGCTTTAATAAAAGAATTAGGATTTTATTCCATTTTTAGAAACAAATTAATCGCGACAATTGAAAAACATAGGATTGCTTGTTAAACTAGATCGAGACGTAGCTGATTAGGCCACCGGCACAATTTCTCTTAAAGGAAAAATGACTTGGGGCATTTAAACGATTTTTTTTTTAATGTGGCTCTTCCACCTGATCAATTTCATATATAAATTTTAATTCTGACAAAAAAAATATATAAATTTTAATAACTCTAAAAATGCTAGTGTGTTTGGCTAAGTCACTTGGGCCTAGGGCCCCCCCGCCTTGGCACAACTTTTTTTTTCTATGTGACTCATCCAACCAAATCAATTTCATATAGAAATTTTAATAATTCTCAAAATAAGAATGTGTTTGGCTAAGTCATCTAGGCCTATTACTAGGACCAATCCGTCCATTGATCCGTTTGCATTTTTAATATTCGAAATTAAGGACGTTCGATGAAGTGTTTGGTATTTAAGATTTAGGTAGCCACTATTCTCACTTTAGTTTTGGTTTCATACACACCCTTGAAATTAAGGAACGACCGGTTGGTAAACGTCGACTCTAGATGATGAGTGTCGCGAGTCTCCTCATCGCCCTGTGTGATGGGTTTTGTAGGGAACCAAAGGGGAGAAAGGAGAGAGAAAATAAAAAAGAAACAAAGCTAATTTTGGGGATTTTTTCTCAAATTTTAACTTTTTTTACATTTCTAATCCTTTCTTTTTGAATTTTTTAATCTTTTTTCATTTGTTTCTTAAGAAAATAATAAAAAAGTCACGGATAACAAAATGATTTAATTCCACCTTCCCGATAAAATTTCGAGATTTATGATGCTCTTGTAATTCAAGTTGTGGATCCTATAATTCTTATTTTTTTTTTGGAAAAATTGGTATAATCAAATTAATTTTTTTACCACGAAAATTCCAAACTAATAGGCATGTGATAGATTTATCCTGACCTAATTTTTTTACCATTAATAACTCTAAATTGATATATTTGTGATAAATTTCTTTCTCTATTAGTTTAGCCTTAAATTGGATTAATATCGCGAAAAGCCCGGCAAGCGAACAGAGTTAAAGCTTGGAATTGGTACGGTCGTCAATTGTCACTGTCATTCAACTCAGTAATTTGATAGTAAAATTTAACGGAAACAAACGAATGGTAAATTTATCGCAAATATACAAGTTTGAGATTTAATTAGTTTATTGTAAATTTATCATAAGTGTACAAATGTGGTATTAATCTTAATTTTTTATTATCTCTTCTTCTCCTCCGCCTCCGGCGAGCTTTCTCTCTTCCTTCTCCGTTCAACCCAAGAGCCTCTTCCTGACCCAGTTCGCTCCGCCACATCGTTCGATCAGGTTTGGCTTCCAAGTTCTTCCTCCTAATCTTGAGAACCGGTTTCGAAAAAACACCATAAATTCACAACTGTTCCGACCACACGCGAGCGTCCCCGGCAGACCGCAGACATGCTCGTGCACAGTTGTTTGCCTTACATCTGTCGGGCATGGGGCATCAATCGATAAAAAGACACGTCTCGACTGATGAAAAGTCGGTTTCTTGGTAAATCTTGGATCGAATCATAGCGAGCGTCGAACGCCGTGCCTTCGGACAAGAATTCATCCACGGTCGAACCCAGTAGAGCGAGAGGGCGCAACGAGGGAGACGAAGCTGACACCATCGACGTCGGCAGCTGCTAACTCGCTCGCCATCCCTCTCTGCTCTCCCATGGCGAAGACGGGCAACAAGACCCAGAAGCTCAAACTCTCCAAAGACCCCACCAAGACGACACCCAAGAAGCTCAAGGTCAAGAAGACCAAGAAGCAGCGCCCTCGCCCCATGCCCGACTCCGACTCCGAGCCCGACTCCGACAAGCTCCCGACCCTCCTCGAGCCCTACACCAAGGACCAGCTCGTCGACCTCATCACCAGCTCCGCCCTCGCCAACCCTGCCCTCTACGGCCACATCCGCGAGGTCGCCGACCGCGACGTCGCCCACCGGAAGATCTTCGTCTACGGTCTCGCCTGGGAGGCCACGCCGCAGTCCCTGGCCGCCGCCTTCGCGTCGTTCGGCGATGTCGAGGACTGCAACGTGGTGACCGACCGCGCGACGGGGAAGTCCAAGGGGTACGGGTTCGTCCTGTTCAGGACGCGGAAAGGGGCCGTGAAGGCGTTGAAGGAGCCGAAGAAGAAGATCGACAATCGGGTCGTGTCGTGCCAGTTGGCCTCGATCGGCCGTGGCGGCACCGGCGTGTCGAGGGATTCGAACTCGGCAGTGAAGAAGGTCGATGTGAATCGCGCGGGCGCTGAGGTGAAAGGGAAAAATCAGGTGCGGGGGCAGCCTCAGGCTCGGGCTCCAGCTCCGGCTCGGGCTCCAGGTCCAGCTCTGGCTCCGGCATTCACTGCTGCTCAGAATTTGTCTGTGCTGAATCAGTATCCCGGCTTGCACCAGATCTACGGAGGGCTGTTAGCGAACCCTGGTGCCTTAGGGTTTGTCAATCCGGCAATAGCCGGCGCTTTGAATCAAAGTATGTTGGCGTTGAGCCAGGGAAATTTAGGTCAAGGAATGGCGGCGGCGACCCAATCCGGGGTCGTTGGTGGTGGAGCTGGAGGTTCAGTGCTTGGAGCTTATGGCGGGTCGAGTTCTGTGCCCCAGCTGGGGCTGCAGCATTTTTATGCAGCAAATATGCCCCAGAGCGCACAGCAAACGGCTCCGTTTAGGGCTAAGGGAGGTGGTGCATCTTCCAGTGGGTTTCCCACACAGACTTGGTATGAATTATATCAAGTAGTTTCTTTAGCTTCTGTACATTCTGTTTGTATGCCTATGTGTTCTCAAGTGAAGTTCTTTCTCTTGTTTAGGATTTTTGGTAGGGTGGAAGGAAGAGTATGTTCTGTTCTTATTTTAGTTAATGCATTATTTGCCCTCATTATGAAGCTCTGAAACATCTAGGGTAGTTGAATTAGCTGCAAGATACGTAATGCGATATGAATTGCCACTCCGTTATGCTGGCGGCAGAAGATATACTAGCTGCAACACTAAAGAAAGCCATCTTTCCTCTGTGGCGGTAATATGTTAGACAATGAGCTCACCCTCAGTGGTTTTCCAGAAACATCGTTACAAAAGTCTTCGGAGTACCATAGGGTGGGATTAACTGAGTTAGTTGCTTGTCAGGCTATCATGTTTTGTTTGTTAGGTGGCTCCTTTTGTTTTCTCTTGCATAGGGAAAAGTATAACTTTGCTATGGTTGTTGTATATAATTGACTCCTCGATGTGATTTTCATGTAAAATTCCTTTTCTATAAATGTGCTGAACAGATGGTTATGCACTCGTTATTTTAAAGAAAAAAAGTGATTTTTTTCCTCTGAAAATAGCAATATTAAAGCAAACTTAATTATTTTGGAGATGAAGATTCTGTTCTTATGCTACATATCATTAAGCTGCTTTGAGCTGCTTCTTTTGGCTCCTTGGGGTCCAAGTTGCCGAAGTATGCTGAAAAAGCATATCGTTTGGTCTTGCTACTGATACTCTTAATGAATGAACCAGAGTATTTCTGGTCATGGTAGTTCCCAAATTTTCTTGCTCAATTATATGGTAAGGATGTTCTTCTATGGGATACCAATAGAAAAATTGTCAGAGAGCATTACGTCCTGGTTACTGAGCTTATTGAAGAACTTTTTCTTTGATTGCGGTCTTACTGCCTTGTTCTACAACATTGCTGTTACTACTCACTCTTCTGAGGAACTTATTCTTAGAGTTTCTTACCATGTCTAGCCTTCATTTGAGTGTATGGTTATATAGTGTTGATGATGCTTACTTTTTGCTTGAACGTGCTTTTCAGGCTAGTTTTTCCTTTGCACCTTTAATATGTATTTCCCTATTTGCTTTTGATCTTTTGGGCCATGTCCTAATTATGTTGGTCTCTCCATGAATTCTGCTACTCATTTTTGTAACTTCAAGGGTTATGTGATTATATCAAAGAACTAATTTCTTCCCGGGATACGCTTTGTTTACTTGACTAATTAGTAGGTCTTTTCTCTTCATATGTATCTTGCATGCATTCGATTCAGTAATTTGTCAGGCGACTTGGTT